GTAAATCGTAGCACAGAACTAGAAGCTATAAAGAAATACCAAATGAAAATTCTAGAACTCAAAAGTACAATATCTGAAACTTAAAATCAGTTGAATGGATTTAATAGCATATTGGAGATGACAGAAGAAAGAATCAATGAACCTAAAGACAGATCAATAAAAGTTATCTAATATGAAGAACAGAGAGAAAATGATTGAACAATATATGTATTAGTTTTCTATCACTGCTGTAACAAACTTAGTGGCTTAAAAAGAACACAAATTTATTATCTCACAGTTCTGTAGGTCAGAAGTCTGACATGAGTCTCCCTGAGCTAAAAATCAATGGGTCCAGTGGGCTGTGTTCCTTGCTGGAGGCTCTCAGGAAGAATCCATTTCTTGCCTTTTCCAGCTTCTAGACGCTACCCATATTCCTTGGTGCATGGCCCCTTCCTTCATCTTCTAAACAAACACCGTTTCACCTCTCTGTGCCTTTCTTCTGTAGTCACATCTTCCTTTCTGACTCTTCTCTTCTGCCTCCCTCTTCCACTTTTAAGGACGTTTGTGATTACTTTGAGCCCACCCAGATAGTCCATGTTGATCTTCCCATCTCAAGGTCTTAATCGAATCTGCAAAGTCTCTTTTGCCGTGTAAAGTAACACATTCACAGTTTCCAGGGACTAGGACGTGGACATCTTTGGGAGATTTTTCTGCCTACCACAATGTTCTTTTCAGTTTTCCCTCTTTTTGAACTCCTTATAAAGTGTATCACCCTGTCATCCTCTTTTGTGTCTGGCTTCTTTCACTCAACATCGTAACATTTATCTATGTTAATGTGTGTAGCAGTCATTCATTCTCTTGTCACTGTTGTATTGAGTCCATCAAACTCATATACCACGATTATTTATCCATGTCTTTGTTGATGACATTTAGATCATTTCAGCTTTTGGCTTTCACAAGCAATACCATGTGTACATATATCTTGACGCACATGTGCACAAGTTTCTCTAGGTTTTATATCTTGGAGTGGAACTGTTGGGTCATAGAGTATCAATCTTCAACTTTAATAGTCGATGCCAAACTTTTTCAAAGTGTCTCAATTTACACCTCCCATCAGCAGCTTCAATTGCTCCACATCCCACCCAATACTTGGTATTACCAGATTTTTTAACTTTTGTCAATCTAGTGGGTACGTAATGGTCTCAACCAGAATCTGGTTAAGTAAACAGAAAAACTCTAGGTATTTCAACAGAGGGAACTTAAAAAGGGAACTTGAATATGGGCAATGTTGACATGGAAGGAAGAGCAAACTAAGAAAGATTGCAAGATTAGCAATTGCAAGAAGTTGACACAGCTCCTAGGGCTGAAGCAACAAAAGAGAGAAAGCTTGACATATCCTCCAACACAGGCTGCTGAGAGCGGATAGAGGTGCACGTGATGGTCTCTGGGAACACAGAAGGGCTCCTCAGTGCTGTTACTACAATTCTGGAGGTGCAGTCACCCTTTCTGGTACATTCATTCTAGCTTCTGAGAGCACTTCTTTGTAGCCTCTGGCTCAATGAATTTTACCCTTCAGCCTCCTAATCATTTTTTCTATCTCTCTCTCTCTCTTTTTTTTTTTTTTTGTGAGGAAGATCAGCCCTGAGCTAACATCCATGCCAGTCCTCCTCTTTTTGCTGAGGAAGACTGGCCCTGAGCTAACATCTGTGCCCATCTTCCCCCACTTTATGTGGGATGCTGCCACAGCATCGCTTGACAAGTGGTGCATTGGTGGTTGCCCAGGATCTGAACCCGGGCCGCCAGCAGTGGAGCGCGCACACTTAACCGCTACGCCACAGGGCCGGCCCCTAATCATTTTTTCTCTTGTCCTCATCTTGACAGCACACACCAGGGTCCACCCAGTCACCCAAGTCAGAATGCTGGGGAGCATCCCAATGCCCTCCTCTCCCAGCCTCCTCCCCATTCCTCAGCGCACGCAAACCCTGCCTGTTCTACCTCCTAATCTCTCTAATCTGTGCCCTCTTTCTCCCTCCTGTCATCGTGGACTGCCCGATGGCAGGGACGCCTGACATGTCTCTCTGTTCCAGCTGCCAGCAAATAGTCTCACATAAACCTCCTCCTCAGGGAATGTTTCCTCAATGAATCTGAAAACACAAGGGTTTGGGGACAGGCGAACCATAAGGTTCCCTCCAGTTAGACATTCTGGGATAAACAGAATAAGTGGCTTCCCTTTCCAACCCGAGGCCATGGGAGGACAGTGGTGTCACGCTGACAGTGTGGCTGTCCCAGTTGTTGAAGTACTGAAATGTCCTCACACCTGATGGCGAAGAGCCTCTGCGGGCCCCTCCCCAGGGACTCCTAGGGAGTCCTGTTGAGCTCCTTAGCAACAAGGGGTTAAGGCGGACCCCGGCCTGGGGGTGGTTGCACATTCAGAATATCACTCCAGAAGAGTGAGTTTGGGAGGAGAGTTGGTTTCTTTGAGTTAAGAGCTACTGGTTTGGGTGAACTCAATTTTGTGACTTTCAAGGTCTAATTGAAACGAAGTTAGAACTCGGTGTCTGTGGGCAAAAGAACTAAAAGAGAAGCTGTGGGTATTCTCAGAATGGCTTGCTATTTAGCTCCTCAAAATAGGGGTTTAGTTTGTTGGGAAGAAATATGGAGCAGTCATCTTCCTCCACCACATCAGCCACTTTAGGGCTCTAAGGAGACAGGTCAGGCCCTGCCCCATGAAGGGGTGGGGAGGAGGAAACAGCTGGCCCAGCAGAGGGTGCTTAGGCCACTGCGCCTGAGGACAGGGCGGGCTGGCAGCCACCTTGGCCTGCAGACAGCAGAGTATGGAGAACTCTTATGACTAGGCCTGGTGGAGCAAGACTGTATTACCAGCCGCGGGACTGGGTGTCAGCGAAGGGTCTTTAGTAGCTCCACAGCGTTTGCCAAGTTGCCCTGGAGTATGCCGCTCCCTCTGAAGCACTTGCACCAGGACCAGGCACACCACAGTGACCCAGAATTCCCTTCCATCCCCACCTCCAGGCATTCGGGTCCTCCTGTGTACCCTCGGGCTGCTGACACTCCCGGCTCACCAGCCCCTGGGTCATATCAGGCTGGGCCATCGTCCGTCACTGTCTCAGTTGGCTCTGGCTGCACGCTGTGTCCCCTAACTCACTACCAGCATGCCTGAATCCGTGCCCAAACCAAGGAGGATCTGCTCAGTCTTGAGGCCTCAGGAGTGTGCTGCCACTCACTCCCACCCACTGTGAGGGCATTTGTCCAGTCTGCGGGGGGTGGAGGGCGGGGAACCGTCCTGAGGCTGAGTTAACGCAGGTCACCTTGTTAGGGCCCAATGACCGGGTGTACATTTGTGTAGAGTAGCAACCTCTCTAACAGTTCTCTCTGTGTGAAACTAACTGACCCTCAAGGAGCTTGACAATGAGTTATTTTGGCAACGTCCCGCACAGAGACGGACCCATAGTCTAAGGGAGAATATGCCATCAAACTGGACACGAGGCCCCAAAACATTCTAAGCACTCTGATGGGCGCCCTAAGGAACTAAAAAGAAAAATACAACTTGTGACATACACTGGTGTGCCTATTTGTGTATTATTATTCATTCATTCATTTAACAAAGAATTTTCCAAACTCCTTCCATGTGCCATTGCGGTTCTAGCAATCTTCTGCTGCATGACTATCCAACCCAAAACTTAATGACAAAGGCCTTTCTGAGATGACTCAAAATCTAGAAGTGAAATAAGAAAAGAGTGACCAATTTGACTACATAAAAATTTAAAAACTTCTGCATGGCAATAAATAAATAAATTCAAAAGTCAAATGACAAGCATTTGGGGAAAAATATGCAATTCATGTCATAGAGAAAAGAACTAATCTCTCTCGCAGTTAAGAGTTCTAAGAAATCAGGAAATAATAGAAAAAAATGGGGAAAGGACATTAAAAAATACAAACGGCCTTTAAGTATATAAAAAAGAGTAAGCCCAGTTGTAAAAAGAGAAATTCTAACTATAAGCACCCTGTGATACAATTTCTCATCTAGCAACTTGACACGCACTCTGAAGTTGAATGCTTTCCTCATCTGTCAAGGCCACAGGGGAGCAGGCAGTCTTGCCCAGCACAGGTGGAACGCAGAAGGGGACAGTGTGGCCATGTAGAAACAGCTGGCAACATTACCAATTGGTTCAGCCTTCACCCCAGCCCTCCCACCTCTGCTAGTTTACCTTATAGTGTTCCTGACCGTGTTATGTTGTACATTACAGCATTCTTGTAAAGCAAAACATGGGAAACACTGCAAATTTTCCTCCATAGAGGGGCAGATAAATCAGTGTGGAATTCATGACTTAGGGTTCTTGATCTTTTGCAGGCTGAATGTCGTTGTCTCTAATCCTTCCTCACCTGGGGGGTTCCCCCATGTCCCCAGTGTATACATTCATTTGTTCACGTGTCCAACAAATACTAAGGCTGGTTCGTGCCAGGCGCTGCCGAGGACCCCAGGACTGCATGACAACGCGGTGGACGCAGCCCGGCCTCCCAAGCGGACATGAAACCATTAAACAAAGTCACCCCTTCAGCCGCCCAGTGAGGGCCAGAGAGCACCCAGAGGGCGCCCGCTTGCTGTGGCTGCTCCCCGGGCCTTCGCCAGCTGCTGCTCCCGCGCGGGGGTCGGTGGCCATGGGGCCTGCCCAGGGGTCGGCGTCCGGCCGCGTGTCAAGCAGAGACCCGGGTGTAGACAGGGATTTGGGAGGTTGTTGGTCACCGCCCTGGGACTCCCCAGGCGCTCTGCTCACAGCCTCCGCGGGCGGGCGGGGCGGGTTTCCCAGTGCCGGCGGCGTCTCCGGGAGCGCAGGGCCCCTCCCGGCCAGCACCGAGGGCCAGGTCGCGCTGCCCTGGAGCTCCAGGCAGCCGCGAGGTCTCCAGCAGGGACGGCTGGCCGGCGAGGAGCGGGGCCTGGGCGGGGCCGGCCGGCGAGGGGCGTGGCCTGGGCAGAGAGGCGGGGCCGGCCCCGAAGACAGACTGACAGCGGCGGTGCGCCGAGGGACGCGAGCGATGGGTGAGCACCCCCGGCCCGGGCCCCTAGACTAGAGCGGGGTGGGGGAGGCCACGCGCACGCTTCCTCCTCGGGAGGAGCGCGGGGGGAAGGAGGGAGCGGGCTCGCCGACCACGCCGCCCTCCTGCCTGTGGCAGCTCCTTCACCTGTGGCCCCGGGAGCGGGCTGAGCCTGACCAGCCGGGGATGGGGACCCCAGGACACGGCCACACGTGGCCTCTCAGCGTTCCGGGAACCCCAAGTTAGAGGAGCGTACGTGGGAGGCCAGCCAGGTTCTCCCTGTGTGAACTTACACGAGGACCCCCTGGGGGCAGCATGGGAATCTGAGCCCCCTGGATAGTGCTGATGCCCTGAACACACTGGGTCATAGATGAGGGGCTCAGGAAGTGCCAGCCTCACGAATGAGGGCGTGTCTCTGTCTTTCAGGTCTGTTTTCAGAGCTGAAGCTGGCTGTGCCCTGGGGCCACATCGCTGCCAAAGCCTGGGGCCCCCAGCAGGGCCACCCAGTTCTCTGCCTGCACGGCTGGCTGGACAATGCCAACTCCTTCGACCAACTCATCCCTCTTCTCCCGAAAGGTGAGGGGAGGTGCCACCCAGGGGCGAGGTGGCAAGACTGAGGAGAATGGGGCGGGGGGTGGGGGGAGAGACGGCTGACATAGACACCTTCTCCTACCCACTTAACTCCATTTCAGACTTTCATTACATTGCCATGGATTTCGGGGGTCACGGGCTCTCGTCCCATTACAGCCCAGGTTTCCCGTATTACCACCAAAACTTTGTGAGTGAGATTCGAAGAGTTGTGGCAGGTAAGAGGCAGAATGTGTGTGTGTGTGTGTGTGTGTGTGTGTGTGTTGGGGGGGCTGTGCCCTGCGACACCCCCTCTCATTGATGAAGTTGGGTGTTAGCCAGGAAGCAGCACCGGCCTGGGAACAACCTGGGGTCTGGTCCCAGTTTTTCCAGGAATGCATGGGTGACTGGGAAAGTTGGGGAGGGCTGCCAAGAAGGGCTTGCTTCCTCCTGAGGGTTCCACCCCTGTGGGGGAGCTGGGGCGCCTCTAAGCTGGTCTCCTGAATGGGGTACCCCCAGATGCTGGGGAGGGATTTCCCAAGCACAGAGACTGCAGGACAGAGGGCGGGTGAGGCTGGGCCCATCCAGACCTGGCTCCGTGTGTTTTCAGCCTTGAAATGGAATCGATTTTCCCTCCTGGGCCACAGTTTTGGTGAGTACGCCTTGGCCAGGACTGGCTGGGCTCAGTGGTGGGGCTGCGAGGGAGAGAGAGGAGTCGGTACACAGGTGCACTTCCCCTGTGCTTCTGGGAACTGCAAGGAGGGGGGGGGGTCTGTTAGACACTGACCTTTGGGCGCTGTGCCCTTTGGCCTCAGGCAGCTCCCTTGAGAGACATAGGGCGCCCTAGGCGGCGTGGCTCTCAATTTGATAAAGAAAATGTGGCCTTTTGAGTGGCCGGGTCTGATGAAGGGGCCCTATGGCCCCGGAGAGGGAGCCCCAAGTTTCACAGCAAATACAGAACTCTGGCCAGCAGTGGGAGAGAGGAGCCAGTCCCCTACCTGAGGGTGTGTCGGCTCCTGGGAGGAAGTTTTAGTAGGATTTTGAGAGCTGGGAAATATCAGCCAGACTCTTCTTTTGTCCCCCAGGTGGCACTGTGGGTGGAATGGTGAGTAGATGGTTTTGCAGGGACCACCTCTGGCCACACCTTGGGCCCTCCTCCAGGTGGGATGGGATGAGCAGGAGGAGGGAGGGCAAGTTACCTGGGAAAGGAAGTGACTCATATCCCAGTTTCAAGCCAGCATTTTATTAGCTGGTGCCAGTTTGCTTTGTGGGAAGTGAGTGAAACAGTGGAGATTCCTACTGGACTTAAGGGTTTTGACATTCCCCACCCCCTCTGTCACAGAGAGCCCTGGAGTCCAGCCATCTCTAGGGTTTGGAGCTTGGTGCTGGGCGCAGACTGCGGGAGGAGGGGAGAGGAAGGTGATCTGAAGGGATAGAAGATTCTTGTTCTGGCCTCTTGGTTAGCACCCTTCCCCCAGCCTGAAAGGTGTCTCGGGAAACAGCAGTGTCCCCCGGGAAAAGTCTGAGTCCCTTTTCCATCTTCCTCTCCTATTCATTCTTCCCTTTTTGTGTCGCATCGTAGTTTTCCTGTATCTTCCCCGAGATGGTGGATAAACTTATCTTGCTGGACTCATCGCCATTTGCCCTGGACTCTAATGTAAGAACGGGGGCCTTCGTGCATGCTGTCGCTGGGGGAGACCCGGGGCCTGGCTGGTGCCCTCTGCCCTGTCTCCTTTGGTGGGTACCAGGGAGGCGGGAGGAAGTGGCAGAAGGTAGACAAGGCGGGTCAGGGGACCCCTCACAGAGGACAGAGTTATGCTGCTTATAGCCCTAGGAGTGGGCAGGAAAAGGGGTGCAGGGACCTTTGTCATCCTTGGAAACCCAGTGTGTGGCCTGGGATCTGCAGGATGCCAGGTGGATCAAGAAATGGCTGGGGTGGGAGAGGGTAGGAGCAGTGGGTTGAGGAAGCTCTGGGGGCACATGATTTGGCGAGCCCACCTGCACTCACGCTTAGTGAAATGACTTTGTGCTGTGCACGAACTGCACAACTGCACACAGCAACCCAGAGTGTGGACCAATGGTAAAAGTGCTGACCCTTCTCACCTCCGCCACCAGTGCCTCCACCACCAATGACAACAGCCAGTGCTGCTCTGCATCTGAGTCCTGGCTCTACCGTTTACCTGCTGTGTGACCCTGGGCAAGTCACTACACCTCTCTGGGCCTCAGTTTCCTCACCTGTAAAACAAGGAGGTTGGACTAGATGACCTGGGAGGTGCCCTGCCAGCTCTGACATTCTGTCATTCTGTTCCCAAGGCTCCGCCTTTCGGTTGTGACGTAGCTCCTTCATCAGTTTTAGTTTTCTTGTCCCTAAAATGACCACAAACTCCACAAGGGCCAGAATCGTGGCTGTCTTTTCATCACCACGTGTCCAACCCCGGCCCAGAGTGAGTGCTCAATGGATGTTGCGTGAACGGATAGCTCGTGCGTTGTCATGAGGATGCAGTGAGACTGCGGTGGCTGCCACTCTTGCTTCTTTATCTGTTTCACCTGCTGAGTTGACCAACACAGTGCCCCCAGGGCCTTCCTCCTGGGGGGTCTTGGTGAGTGGTTGGTCCTCCCTGTCCTGCCTTCTCAGGGGGCACAGATGGGACTGTCACTTCCCACTGCTCCTCCAGGCTGTGGACTGTGGACAGGGCCAGGCCATTCTCTGAGTGAGCTGGGCTGGAAATGGGTACTTGATGGGGGACTGGAGGTCCCCGAGCTGCACCCCCTCAGCCAGTCTCCTCTCCACCGTTGGGAGTGATAGCCTTAGTTCAACCAGATGAATTTGTCATGGTTGAACCCCGAACCCTGGACGGTTCATGACCTATGGCCCCTAATATCGCACCTTTGCAAACACTTGGCAGTTGACAGAGATTTCCTTTCCCTCTGTCATCCAGCCTGGTCCCTCCAGCTGTCCCCAGCCACAGGCAGGGCTGGGCTGGTGGTGACTGAGGCAGGGCTTACTAACCTGTGCCACCCCTCACGGGGTCAGAATGAATCACGGGCTAAGAGGGTGTAGAGGATGCGCCACTGAGGGGCTGCTGAGGGCGGGTGGGGGTGGGGAGGGGCTGGGCCCCTTCATCTGCAGCTGGGAGCCCTGCCCACCCAGCAGAACCCACAAATCCTTAGGAGATGGAGAACATGCTGACCTACAAGCGGAGAGCCATAGAGCACACACTGCAAGTGGAGGCCTCCAAGAAGCCCTCGAGCGTGGTCAGCCCGGAGGAGATGCTGCGGGGGTGGGTGCCGGCGGGCGACACCGGTGGGGCGGGAGGCCTGGGGGAACTAAGGGCACCAAGGGAGGAGACCTTTGGGGCACAGAAGAAGCTTCTGTCTCCTGCTCACACATCCACACCAAGCCTGTTTCTGTCCGTGCTCACCCCGAGCATCAGGCTTCCCGGCCCTCCTCAGATCCCCCAGCTGGGACTTTCTCTGCTTTTCATTCTCCCCCTCCTATATTCATGCCCTTCACTTATGTGACCCCTCTTCACACACTCTCTGCCCCCAAATCCTCTCCAGGTGCGCTCACACACACACACTCACACCACTGATGTGAACATCCCATGGACACACGCCTGCGTCCTTTGGGAGTGCCCTTCCTCTCCCTTTCCTCCCCTCCTTTCTGTCTGGCCCCCCTGCCCCAAGGCATTCAGCATCCGTCTGTCTCCCCCAGGTTCCTGAAGAACAACAGTCACGTGAGTGAGGAGTGTGGGAAACTCCTCCTGCAGAGGGGAACCACCCGGGTGGCCACAGGTAAGGGACTCACCATCCAAGGCCATTGCTGAACCGCACTACTACTGGGGAATGATAATGACTAGGCTTGATCGCTGCTTGTTCCGACCAGGCATAATCCTAAGTGCTTTGCAAATGTATCTCATTTAGTCCGCCTACTGCCCTGTACTCATGCCACCTACAGCAGGAGAAACTGAGGCTCGGAAAGGCAAAGTGGCTTGTGCCAGGTCAGACAGCGACTGCACGTTGCAGAAAGCCACGGCCTGTGGGGAGCTTGGTCGGGTGTGTTGGGATTAAATGTTGGGTAATGTCCCACCCACACTCTGCTGGTCCTGTGAGGTGGGTACCAGGTGCCAGAGAGAGGCTTGCACGTCCTAGGGGGGCAAATGACTTTTTCAAAACAGGGAAGTGGAGTTGGTGGCACCTTGGCTTCAGGGCAGCGACAGGCCCATGTTTGCTGCTCTTTGTTCTCTGGATACTTTTGTCCAGGGAGCCTTTCCTGAAGGTCTGCTCTGTGCCCAGCCTGAGCCAGGCTGCAGAGCTGCGGTGAGCAACAGCAGACCCCGGCCCTCTCCTGGTGGGCAGTACCTCTGGCTGGCCCACCTCCAAGGGGCGCCATTCACAAGTACCCGCACTGGAAATGACTCCCTAGGAGTCGTGCAAGGAGGAGGCTGGACGGGGCACATACATTCTAGAAGGAGAAATGGATGATAAACTAGTAGACAGACAAAACAATAGACATTTTATTACAGGTGTAAGAAAGGAGATGTACAGGGTGCTCTGGAAGAGACCCGTAGGAGGGCCTGCTCCCGACAGGGGCTCCAGGAGGCAGCTCCCAGGAGGTGCAGTAAAAGCCCCAGGGAGACAGTGTGTAGGATGGAACGTGCACTGAATTGACTCTGCTAGCTCAGCTGTCTTGGATAAGTCCCTCCCCTTTTAGACTCCTCTGGCTTTTTTTTTTTTTTTTATAATTTTTATTTATTTATTTATTTTCCCCCCAAAGCCCCAGTAGATAGTTGTATGTCATAGTTGCACAGCCTTCTAGTTGCTGTATGTGGGACGCGGCCTCAGCATGGCCAGAGAAGCGGTGCGTCGGTGCAAGCCCGGGATCCGAACCCGGGCCGCCAGCAGCGGAGCGCGAGCACTGAACCGCTAAGCCACGGGGCCGGCCCTTCTCTGGCTTTCTTAGGTGACAAAGTCTTGGGATTTTTGTCCTCATAGGCTGATAGGATCAAGCAAGGGGGTGAATGTGGCTTCAGTTTATAAAGTACCAATGAGGCAGAGGTCAAAAACCACCATGCCTGTGGGAGCTGGGCAAGTCGTGATATGAATCCAGCTGCTGGGAGTGAGGCAGTAGGGAGTGGTAGGGACTGTGGAACTGGAGCTGGCATGCCTAGGCAGGGCAGCCCAGTCAGTGGTTATCATATGGGAACTTGGGTCTAGTATGGCCGGAATTTCCGGTTGCTCAGAGAAGCCAGAGATCTACTGTATTGTATTTTTTTCTGGAAATTGACAACACACTCTGAGGTCAGATGGAATATACCTAGGAGCTGTTTTGGCCTCTGGCTGCCAGTTTGTGACCTGTTTTGGGGGATTGTCTTAGTTATCATCTCTGAACCTTTGTCTGCCCCTCCCTGCAAATCCATCATGGAGAGGGGCGGTGGAGGGCAGAAGGCCCTGAGGGCCATGAGGACCGTGGGCCCAGGCTTCCCTGATAGGCCCCACACAGATGGCTGGGCCAGAGAGGCCCCAGGTGCAGAAGTGGGCTAATCCAGAATGAGACATGCTCCCCGGCCAGGCTGGGGAAGCCGATTAGTCACGTGAAATGGTGAGCACAGACACTGAACCAGTTGTTAAGGGAGGTGGGGAGGGGGATGGAGGAGCTGGGAAGGAGGTGCTGCAGGAGTGGGCAAGCGCCTGGCTGACTGTGTCAGGACCAGCCCCTCTGCAGCCGCCATGGCCCTTTGGAGCCTGGCAGTAACCTAAAAGAAGACCCAACAGGCTCCTGGACCCCACCAGGTGCCTCCTCGGTGTGGGTGACACTGGGGAAGCCAGCGTTCCAGGCTCCTCCCAAGTCCCTTCCCTCGGACCCCAGAGCCCCTGACAGCCCCCCTTCCATTCTGGAGCGGAGCAGAGGACGGGGCCACCCCCAACATCCAGCCCGACCCCTCAGGAGTCTGTATTTGCTTCCTGGGACTGCCACAGCTTAAACAACAGACATTTACTCTCTCTCAGTTCTGGAGGCCAGAAGCCCACGATCAAAGAGTTGGCAGGGCCGTGACAGACTGTTTATGCCTCTCTCCTGGCTTCTGGTACCCTCAGAGCCTTCACAGAGTGCAAAAAAGCTCGCAGTTGCTCTCTTAAGTAGAATGATCTGGGTCGGGCTCGTGGAGAAGGTGACTTGTGAGCAAAGTGACGAAGGTGAGGGAGCTGGTCGCGGGGACCTCCAGGAGGAAGGTGGTCTTGGCGAAGGGAGCTGCCAGGAAAGGCTCTGAGCAAGAGCTCGACTGGCTGTGGGAGAAACCAGGAGGCAATGAGCCCGGCCAGCCAGGGTGGGACTGATGGGGGAGGCCTAGTCCTTATGTTATCTACCTTTCTATCCACGTTCTAGTCACAAGGCCTAAGCCTCTGGACACAAGCTGGAGGTGCGGCAGGAAGGAGGGAGAGCCCAACTCTGGTTGGAGTTCCCTAATGACAAAGGACAGGCCTGTGTCGACATCCGGCCCCTGCAGCCTGCCCACCATGGGGGATGCTCAGACCCCCAAGACAGGCCGGGCTGCCCTGGGGTTGCAAGCATGATTTGTTTGGCTTGTTCAGTTCAAACAAAAAATTTGGCATGGAGGTTATTTTGAATAGACCCATCATAGTTAAAACAGAAATATTTTCTGTAAAAATGGAGATTTCCAGTTTCTTTTGAAAAATAGGAAGACCTGGCAACACTGTCTGCATTCCCCATGGGCAACCGCCAGCTGGACAGACTCTGCTGCCGTGTCAGTGGGCCCTGCACCCACACTGCCTGCCTCTGCTGGCAGTTGGGTCTGTGACCTTGGCAGGTCCCAGCAGAGAAGGGCGAGGGAGCGGCTGAAGGGTTTCTGAGTTTACTCTCTTTCCCTTTGAGCTTTGGGCCTCCTCTGTGCTCTGTGGTCAGAGAGCCCCCGCACCCAAGCCACCAGTCCTCAGCCCCCCAGGTGGCAGCAGCCCAGACCCTGTCTGCTCCCGGCTGACCACATTGTCCCGTCCTCCCAGGGCTGCAGCGAGGACCCTCGGGGTTCAGGGACCCCTTGTTTGCAGATGAGGAAACTGAGGCCAGAGAGGGAGGACCCAGGGCCTTCCTTCCCTCTCACAGCCCATCCCGGGGCTGATGTCAGCTGTCCATTCATATCCTGGGCTGGCCCCCAGGCTGGCCGTGTGCTCCTGCGGGATAAACTCTGGGCAGAACCACCCCTGCCCTGCACTGCCAGAGTAGAGAGCCTGGGGGTCGGGGGACAGATGTCAACCAAGTCACCGCATTGATGGCTACCCACCTGGGGAGGGGCCCCGATCTGTGGGAGTCCCTGCCCAGGAGCCCAGACGGCAGCGAGAGGATAGAGAAGGCACACCCAGGTGAAGAAGAGGTGATGGTGTGGGGAGCATTCCAGACTCAGGGGACAGCACGTGCAGAGGCCCTGCCTACGGCGGGAGGGAGTGTGTCCATTTCCAGAACCTGAGGGAAGGAGCATTGAGGGAGAGAGAGAGTGGCTGCCATGGAGGCTGGCGGGTGGGGACTGGACTGGTCAGGGCCCAGTAAGCTACCATTGGTTGACGGTTGATATGATGTCTATTCCAAAAGAAGAGGGAAGCTCTTGGAGGGTTTTAACTGGAGGATGGGGAGGTGGGGAGGAACGGATCGACTCGCATTTCCAAATTGGCAGTGGCCAAAGTGTGGCCCCACAGGGGCCTGGCTAGCTCAGGCCTCTCCCCTGGTCCAGGCTAGGGTAAGGGTGGTGGGGACAGGGTGCTATCTGGCTGGCTCTTTGCTTCCTTGCTGCTGTTGTTTGAAGGTTTTTAAGGGGTCACCAGGACTTGGTAGGACAGAAATTCTCCTGTCGGGGATGCCTGAAAACCTCGCATGCCTTAGGGAAAATGCCAGGAGTGTCTTGGGATGGATTTTCCCCCACTGGGTGCTGAGTGGGGACCATCTGGTGGCTGGCCAGTTGTGTCCTTCAGTCCAAGGGGCATCCTCATCTTATTCCCGGGGGTTCTCAGCCTGAGGGGCAAGTATCTCAATTCCTCAAAAAGGAATTGGGATAGTTTCTAGAAAACAGATGTTAGAAGATAATTGTCTACTCTGTGATCATTTTCCTTTGTTCCCCGAGCACGCTGTTATCGAGTGCCCACCCTGGGGGGGTCACCAGGCAGAGGAGGTCATTCTGGATAGCATGTGGGGTCAGAGGCAGGAGAGAGAAGGAGAGTGACAGGGAGTGGGGGAGGAGGTGGCAGCTTGAGCCGGGCTTTGAGGGGGACACGGGAGGACCTCGTGGGCAAGCTGAGCAATCAGGACTCTGTCCTGAAGGTGGAGGGAAGACCAAAGGGTCATGGGCACCGGAGTGAGACCTGGGAGAGTCCAGTTCTGGAACAATCTGGAAGGGGGATGGGAGGCTGAGTGGGGCTGGAGTCGGGAGTTGGGTGAGAGGTAAGAAGGGAAACAAAGCAGGGCGCTGGGCGTGGAAAACGATTTGATCTGTGTAAGGGGGGACAGTTCCTCCCTCCACTCTCACGCAGGACACTTCTGACACTAAAGGGGTGGGCTTTTCCCACAGCGACCACTCGTCCACACCAGCAGGAGTCCTACAATTCAATTCAGTCCTGACAGTGTCTACCCGGAGTCAGCGCAGACCCCACAGTTTAAGGGCTCAGTCCCACGAAAATGCCCCCCTTCAGACGCCAGTTGCAAATCCAGGTTGTAAATCCAGGTTGTCACCTGTGCTTCTGACCAACTAGCTGTAAATCAGGGGTTCCCTCAGCCCCCTCCTCAGGTTCGATATTTGCTAGAATGGCTCATAGAACTCAGGAAAACAGTTTACTTACTGGATCACTGGTTGGTTATAAAAAGATCTGACTCAGGAACGGCCAGATGGGAGAGATGCGTAGGGCAGGGGTAGGGAAAGGGGCAGAGCTTCCATGCCCTCTCTAGGCGCACCACCCTCCCCGAACCTCAGTGTGTTCACCAGCCCGGAAGCTCTCCAAATCCCCTAGTCCAGGAATTTTTGTGGAGCCTTCATCACAGAGGCATGAGGGATTATTATGTCAATCACCAGCCCCTCTTCCCTCCCTGGAGGATGGGGGTAGGGCCGAAAGTTCCAAGCTTCTAATCATGGCTTGGTCTTTCTGGCCACCAGCCCCCACTCTGAACCCATCCAAGAGCCCACCCAGAGTCACCTCATTAGAACACAAGATGCTTCTGTCACCCAAGAAATTCCAAGGGATTTAGGAGCTCTGTGTCAGGAACTGGGGTCAAAGACCAAATATTAGAACAGTAGACACTCCTAGCACCTTTATCAGTTGGGAAATTACACAGATTTTAGGAGCTCTGGCCAAAAGTCAGGGAGCAGACTAAAACATGTATTTCTTATTATATCACAATATCACAGGCTGTGGCAGGAGAGGGAGGAATCTAGAGTTCTGATATCTCCTGCATTCAAAACAACTTTCTTTGTTTATGTGTGTGAGGAAGATTTAGCCCTGAGCTAACATCCAATGCCAATCCTCCTCTTTTTTTGCTGACGGAGACTGGCCCTGGGCTAACCCCCGTGCCCATCTTCCTCCACTGTACATGGGATGCCGCCACAGCATGGTTTGACAGGTGGTGTGTTGATCCGCGCCTGGGATCCGAACCTGCAAACCTCAGGCCACCGTAGTGGAGCGCGAGCACTTAACTGCTATGCCACCGGGCCAGCCCCTCAAAATGATTTTCTTATAAAATGTATGTTTCATGCAACTTTTCAGGGATCTGAAACCCTTGGAGGGCGCGTCTCTCACAGGTCTCTGGCGGGGCCAGCCTGAGGGGTCCTGGCAGTGCTGGTGCAGAGTCCACCCCTCCCAGCCGAGCCAGGCCAAGCCTCCTTCCAGGGCTGACCCCAGCCTCGTCCCTCCTCGACTCCTTCTCAGTAAAACAGAGATGCTGACACCTGCCTCTGTACGGTCGTGAAGGGAATTGAATGAGATAAGTGAGTCCAGAAGCCCTGTTGCACGGCTGCTGGCGCTTGGTGTCCCCGGAATCTGAATCTAATTGAGGAAAGTACAGAGCACCAGTCCCTCTCACTTCCGGAAACGCTGCAGCCACTTGCTCTGGGATCTGCTAGGTGGACTCCTTATGGAAGGGACTTCTGTGCTGGCCGGCTGGTCTGAGAAACCCAGTTCCTGCCCTCACAAAGGTCATTGTCACAGGGGAGGCAGACAGAAGAGCAGCAGGGCTGTGCACCCAGCGAGTTCAGGATGTGTCCCGTGGAAGCACATCTTGGAAGAATAGGAGGACTTGGCCAAGGCGTGGGGGGAGCCAAGGCCTCAGGGCAGACGGAACAGCGCCATGGGGGGCACCCAGATAACTTAGGGGTCACTCCACCACCAAGATAACCCCCTTTTAAAATGTTTTCACATCCTCTGAGCAGGTGGAGCCCACGCCCAGAGGAAGGAGGAGGGCAGTGAGCCCTGGTGGGGGCCCAGGCCGAGGGGTGGCCCCGGTCCTGCACAGGCAGCAGGGGCCGGTCATCTGTGCAGGGAGGTCATGGCCAGAGCTAAGGGCAGTCAAGAAGCCTGGGCCTTGGTTTCATTAGGCTTAGATGATCTACTAGTGCAGCGACCAGAACATCTTCCAATTACCTGGTCCTTCTAAATATTTTGAGTGGAAAATGCCTAAGAACCTCTATCAACAGTTAATCATCTGAATTTATCTTCTAAAAGTTCCATGGTCTCTCATTAGAGGAGGAAACCTAATAATTACAGAAAATAGCTCTTCTTAATGTTTCCATAATTGTCTCTTTCTTGGAAAGCCACTCTGTACTCAAACATCCGTTTTCCGTTTTCCAGCAGGGAGCCTGACGCCCCTCCCCCAGTGCCCCCCGCCCCACAATGCCCTGCCCCCATGGGGTTGATGGTGTTTCCAAAGGACTGAGCAGAGATGCCAACCTAGTTGTCATTTTGGTTCTGTTTTTAAATTTAATATTACTTTTTGAACAGATGCTAGATCACATGGTTTAAAAACCACAATGATATAAAAAGATGTGCACATCTCGCCAAGTCTCCCAGTCCCATCCATCCTCTTCTTCGGCTCACCTCTAAGATAACCTTCTTTTTTAAGTTTATTCGCATCCTTCCAGTGTTTTCTTAGGTACCTATAAACACATGCAAATATATCCCCTTATCTCCCTCTTGGCCACAACAGGCCCCGCCGTAGAACTGGTTCTGCAGCTTCCTTGGTTTCTAATTTTTTGTGTGTGTGTGTGAGGAAGATCAGCCCTGAGCTAACATCCATGCTAATCCTCCTCTTTTTGCTTCGGAAGACCGGCCCTGAGCTAACATCTATAGCCAATCCTCCTCCTCTTTTTCCCCAAAGCCCCAGTAGATAGTTGTATGTCATAGCTGCACATCCTTCTAGTTGCTGTATGTGGGACGCGGCCTCAGCATGGCCGGAGAAGCGGTGCGTCAGTGCGCGCCCGGGATCCGAACCCGGGTTGCCAGTAGCGGAGCACACACATTTAACCGCTAAGCCACGGAGCTGGCCCCTGGTTTCTTGTACTTACATGGATCCCGGAGATTGGGCCACAATTCTTTTTTCCAAACACAGGATGTTCCCACATGAATGTCGAAGGATAATCAGTCCCCCGTAGAGGGACCGCAGGTGCAGAGAGGGACAGTGTACTGCGTAGCAGCCGTGTTCCTGGCTTTGCAGAAGTGCTAACGACCTGTAGATAGTGGGGGCACGCACAGTTGAGGGGGCGCTGGGCTTCGAAGTTGCCAGGTGCCCCCAGGGCTGTCCCTGAGCAGCCCAGCCTGTGACGGATGACAGGCCTGTGTCACCAGCTGTCGTGAGGTTGGAATTTTGCCCATGTGATAGGCGAGAAATTATATCTCAACGTGGTTTTCATTTTCATTTTCTTTTTACAGTAAGGAGGAATAGCTCTTGTATTTTTTGTTTCCTGAGAGCGGTACGTTCCCGTCCTCTTGCCCATCTTTCTAGTGGGTTCCTGGTTTCGGAACTCTTCATATGTGGGGGAGATTGAATTACAAATACTTTTTCCCAGGTTGTCATTTATGTTTTGACTTTGCTTAGAGTGGTTTTTTTTCTTGCGATGCAGAATTCTTTTTACTGTAATTGAATATATGTCTTTTTTATGGCTTCTGCATTTCGAGTTTAAGTTAAATCTCATATTTGATGCTAATGCTTTTTGGAGTTGAGTATTTGCATTTAAATATTTGATACACCGGGTGTCTATCTAGTGCACAGGCTGAGGTTTGGATCTGAGTTTATCTGTTTCCAGATGGCTCTTCAGTTGCCTAATGCCGTTTTTTGAAAGTCTATCTTTGCCTTCACCCGTGTGGGGACCTACCACATCATGCCTGCCCGCCGTACTGAGTCTGTCTCTGGACCTTCTCTCTTTCTCTGGGTCTGGCCATCTGTCACTTGCCAGCACTACATGGTTTAAATTATTGAGGGCCCACAGTAGGTTTTAATATCTGTAGGACAGTCTCTTTTCATGGCTCTTTTTCATGCTTATTCTGCTATTCTTGCTTATTTATTTTTCCATATGGACTCTAGAATCGGGTAGTTTAGTTCCCAAAATATCTTTTGTTGGTATGTCATCTATGTACGTCTAACTAATAATAATGTTAACAGTAATAATAATAACAGCAGTACTCATGTGCCATCACCCAGCTAACACAACAGAACAGCACCCATTCCTTTGAACTCTGCCCCCCCAATCGCACCCCCCCCCCCCCCCACCCAGAGGTAATCAATAAGCACTTTTTGAGCACCTACTGTGTGAGAGGCTCTGTCCTTGGTCCTGAGGATGCAGCTGTGAATCAGAGACAAACCCCTTGTCCTCACGGAGGCTGCATTCTGGCGGAGGCAAGAAGCAGCGGGGAAGTAAGTGGTGGAGTGCCTTAGAAAGTGCTGAGCGTTGGGGAGAGACATAAATCAGGAGCGGATGGAGAGGCCCCGACGAGATGTGTGTGGTTTTAAAGGGGCGGTCTCCAGGCCTGGCTGGGAGGGTGCTGTTTGAGCAAAGACTCGCAGGGAGGAGGGATCGCGCTTCCTTCTTAGGCGGCACGTTTGTGGAATTTACCCCTGTTGACGCCTGCACCTCCAGTCCCCTGGCTCCCCAGTGGAGAGGGTCCCCAAACGACCACCCCACAGCTCACTTCTCCGTCCCGGCTGACACCAGGCCGCCTCCAGGGTCTGCGATTCTGTACTCTCCCTGACACCCCTGCAGCCATTTCTCCAGGAGTCGTGGCCCAGGTGTGGAATTGGTGGGTGTCCGTCCTTCCTAGGTGAGGCCAAGTTGTCCACCATCGGGACTGTGACAGAGAACCGAGGCTCGGCCTGGAGCTGGGACCACCCGGGCCTCTCGACCCCTCCAACCTCTCTCGCTCACTCCATTTCTCTCTGACAAGTGACCACACGATTCTTAGCTATTGGGTCCTTCCTGGTGTTTAAAGATCTGAATGAACATTTTAAGGTTCTCAGAGATGAAAATTACGAATGCCAGGTAGGGCGACTGTCCCCACCACCATCCTTCTGCACCACCCACTGGGGTGGCTGGGGGAGGTGCCCGTGTGGGGCCCACAGGTCTGTGGCCAGGTGGCTGTGGGCAAGCTCTGCTCCGGGTGAACCCCAAGAGGACGTCAGGGGTGGTCCTCGCCAGTCCAGGCTGAAGAAATGAGCCCTGGCTGGAAGGGCCCAGAGTCCCCAGGGAGGCCAAGTTGAGTGCCCTCACCCTGACAGGCGGCGCGGACACCATCTTTGTGCTTCTGTCCCCAGGGCTGGTGCTGAACAGAGACCGGAGGATCGCTTGGGTGAGTGTAGCTGTCTCCCCGCTCCCTTCACAGTTTGCCTGCCAGCCTCTTTCTTTTTCTTTTTTTATCATGGTAAAATATACATATCATAATATTTATCATTTTTAAACAATCTATAAGTATACAATTTAGTGACATTAAGTACATTTGCGATGTGCAACCATCACCACCCAAAAATTTTTCATCATCGCCAATAAACTCCATGCTCATTAAACACTAACCCTCCATTCTCCCTCCCCCAGCCCCTGGCAACCACTGTTCTGTTTTCTTTCTATGAATTTGACTCCTCTAGGGATTTCTGGTAGGCGGAGTCATGCTCTACGTGGCCTTTTGTGTCTGCCTTATTTCACTTAGATGTTTTCAAGGTTCATCCATGTGGTAGCCAGAATCTCATTCCTTTTGTGGCTGAATGATATTCTGTCGTATGGACCTGCCATTCATCCGTTGATGGACACTTGGGTCGTTTCCCCCTTTTCGCTGTTGTGAACAATGCTGCTGTGAACATGTGTGTACAAATATCTGTTCGAGTCCCTGCTTTCAGTTCTTTTGGATATACCCCCAGGAGTGGAATTGCTGGCTCATATGATAATCTTATGTTTAACCTTTTGAGAAACCACCAGACTGTTTTCCACAGTGGCTGCACCATTTTATGATCGAATCAGCAGTGCACAAGGGTTCCAATTCTCCACATGCTTGCCAACACCTGTGATTTTCCTTTTTTTTTATTTTAGCCACCCTAGTGGTATGAAGTCATGTCTAGACTCTTTTGAATCATCAGTTGCTTATTTATTTTTGCTTATTTTCATTCTTTTGGGGATCCATTTTCATTCTTTTCCCAGATGAACGGCCTGTTGGTCCCCCACCAGTTATTGGGGTCTGGGGACGAGGGAGAGGCTCCACTAACCAGCAGATACCTGAAGTCCAGATATGTCCCACACCAGGTGGGTGGGGGTGGGGCTGACCTGGGCTCACCCTGCACCTGGGAGAAACGTGGGGACACCCACGGCTGGTGCTCGCAGCCGCTGAGTTCCTCCAGGCGCCTCGCACATGCGAGCTCGTGTCATCCTCGTTGCCGCCCTTGAGGGGGTACTGTTGTCACTCACATTTTACAGTCAAGGAAATAAGTCAAGAGAGCCTAACAACTCGCCCACGGTCACGAGGCACAGCTGGTGAGGGCTTCACGCTCAGAACACAGTTGTGCCCACGGAGCAAAACGCGAAAGCCGAGGCCCACTGTCGGCCGTGTCGTGGGCGCACTTGCGGTCCCAACATGTGTGTTCATGCGAGTCTGTGTACTTAGATGTGGACTCTTGTGTTAGGGCCTTTGTTTTTGTTGTGTTTCTTTAGGTTTTTACGTAAATGGTTGCAAATGCTTAAATGAATGAATCGAAAGGCAGTAGGAGTTCCCAGAAGGCACGCTGGCGGCTGGGGGAGGGTATGGTCAGGAGTTTCTTAGAGGAGGTGGGATGTGTCCTGGGCCCAGGTGGTGGGATTGAGGTGGGTAGAGGAGGGAAAGACATTCCAGGTACTTGTTACCGCACAGGGAACGGGTTAGAGTCGGCTCAGTGCATCTATTAAAGAGGGGGGTTCCTGATGGAGAGTGTGGACCCAAAAGAAGAGAAAGGGGCTGGATAATGAAGGGTCTTAAAAGCCAGCAGCCAGTCCGGAGGTCTGGAGGTATGTGACAGGAGCACTTGTTGCAACTCAGCCATCTCTGCCACATAGAGGCTGTGTGACCTTGGGCAAGGCACTTACGCTCTCTGAGCCTCCATTGTCTTTCATGATGAAGGAAAGTGCATTCCTTCATTTATTCATTCATGCAGCTGGTGAATGAGCAGCTGGGAGGTGCCAGCCCCTCTGCCTGCCTCTGTGGGGTTGCTGTGAAGTCTAGCGGAGGCCACAGACACAGGTGTCGAGTGGCGTGGCACATTGCCATGTCTTTAGGTGCTCACAGACGGTGCTCTTACTGTGATTGTGCAAGAGGGCAAAATGCTTTGCACATGTGAGACGCTGCCATTAGAAGTGGGAAGCCCTGGCCGCAGGGAGCCCACTGAGAGCTGTTGCCCAGGCCTGGGCTTGGACATGAGCCCTGGACCAGGGCATCAGCCAAGGAGACAGGAATGTTAGTTTTGTTGTTGATCCAACTGGGATTTGTTCTCAAGTGTGGTGTGAGGTAGGGATCCATTTTAATTCTTTTCCTGGATGAACAGCCTGTTGGTCCCCCCTAACTACCGAGGCTCCCTCACCCTGGTCTGTCCTCTGTGCTGATCCCCGGGCAGGGGGCTTACTGCCAGATCCTACTCAGCATGGTCCCGGAGGCCCTGGTGGAAAAGCTTTTCTCCAGAGAGAGAGCTTTACCTCCTGCTGATCCCCTGGCCAGAGCCGGGTCACTCTCGGGCAGCAGTGCTGGGCCCCAGCTCTCCTCTGCCCTGAGGTGCAGGATTGTTTGTTTGTTTTTTCGTCTGCGAGGAAGATCAGCCCTGAGCTAACATCCATGCCAATCCTCCTCTTTTTGCCGAGGAAGATTGGCCCTGGGCTAACATCTGTGCCCATCTGCCTCTACTTTATATGGGACGCCACCACAGCATGGCCTGACAAGCGGTGCGTCAGTGTGCGCCCAGGATCCGAACCGGGGCCGCCAGCAGCGGAGCGCGCGCACTTAACCGCTACGCCACGGGGCTGGCCCCCAGGATTGTTTGTTTTTTGGGGCATTTGGAGACGCCCCTTCCTCTTCCTGGGCCCATGCCCCATGCAGCACGCAGCTGCTCTGCGGGGGGAGCCGTGGTCGACCACAGTGCCTGAAGGAGAAGGCCACCCACTGATTTGAAAGTCTCCCTTGGGACATACACTAAATCACAAAAGATACAAATTCCCAAATGGGGCTGTGCCTGCACTCTGTGTCCCATTGATCTTTGGCAGCATCTGAGCCATCCCACTTGATTTTGTGTGTGTGTGTGTGAGGAAGATTGGTCCTGAGCTAACATCTGTTGCCAGTCCTCCTCTTTTTGCTGAGGAAGATTGGCTCTGGGCTAACATCCGTGCCCATCTTCCTCTACTTTATATGGGATGCTGCCACAGCATAGCTTGATAAGCCATGTGTGTAGGTCCATGCCCGGGATCCGAACCTGCAAACCCTGGGCCACTGAAGCGGAGCGCACAAACTTAACCACTATGCCACCAGGCTGGCCCCCATCCCACTCGATTTTAAGTCCTATTTCTTTCTAATAAGTTTTGACATTAGAACAAGTCCACTCTCCTCGTTCTCCTTTTATGCATTTTCCTCGGCTTTTGTTGCATATTTTCACTTCCAAATGAAGTTTAGAATAATCAACTTTTGTTAAAAATTATATTGGGATGATGTTGAATTTGTAGAATACTTTGGGAATTTAATTGTTATAAAACTTATGAATGCTGGGGCCAGCCCCATGGCGCAGTGGTTTAAGTTCGCACGTTCTGCTTTGGCGGCCCAGGATTTGCTAGTTCAGATCCTGGGCATAGACCTACTCACCGCTCATCAAGCCATGCTGAGGTGGCGTCCCGCATAGAGAAACTAGAAGGACCTACAATTAGGATATACAACTATGTACTGGGGCCTTTGGGGAGAAAAAAGAAGAAAAAAGAGGAAGATTGGCAACAGATGTTAGCTCAGGGCCAATCTTCCTCAAAAAAGAAAACAAAACTAAACTTATGAATGCGGATCCCCTGATATACACCTCAATTCAGAGGGGGCTGGGCAATGGGCTATCCATAAGGAAAAGTCTGATCCTAGATCCCTGCCTCACACTAGACACCAAAATTAATTCAAGATGGATCATAGATCAAAATATGAAATGTAAAACAGTAAAGATTCTAGAAGAAAACATAGGCAGTAGCTTCATGACCTTGAGGTAGACAAATATATTTTAAATAGAACAACACACACTTACATTGTGAATCAATGAAACTATAGATACATAGGGCATAATTAAAATTTAGAATTTCCATTCATCAAAAGACAATATTAAGGGGGGCCGGTCCAGTGGCGCAAGCGGTTAAGTGCACGCGCTCTGCTGCCGCGGCCCGAGGTTCGCCGGTTCGGATCCCGGGCACGCACCGACGCACCGACTGTCAAGCCATGCTGTGATGGCGTCCCATATAAAGTGGAGGAAGATGGGCACGTATGTTAGCCAAGGGCCAGTCTTCCTCAGCAAAAAAAAGAGGAGGATTGGCAGATGTTAGCACAGGGCTGATCTTCCTCACAAAAAAACAAAACAAAACAAACAAAAAAAGGACAATATTAAGAGAGTAAAAAGGCAAGCCACAGACTAAGAGAAGATATTTAAATGCATAGGTCTGCTAAAGGACTCATAGCCAAAATATATAAAGAACTCTTACAAATCAATAAGATAAAGACTGACAGCCTCTTTTCTAAAAAACAGGCAAAAGATTTGAACAGGCACTTCACGACAGAGGCTATCCTAATGGCCAGAAAGCACACGGAAGGTGCTCGACATCATTAGTAATTAGGGCGATGCAACAATGAGATACCTCTGCATCCCCACCAGGATACCTAAAATGGAAAGCCCTGACAATAGCAAGTCTTAACGGGGATGTGGGGCAAACAGAACTCTCCCACATAGCAGGAGGAAGTATAAATCGATGCAACCCTTTTGGAAAACTGTTTGGCAGGAACTACTAAAGCAAAACATAGGCAAATCCTCTGATCCAGAAATTCCACTCCCAGATGCACACCCAGCAGAAATATGTGCCATGTGCACAGAAGACGTGTATGAGAATGCTCACAGCAGCTGTATTCACAGTAACCCCATACTGGAAATCACCCACATGCTCATCAACAGTAGAATGCACCAATTTGTTTTGTGTTCATGCAATGGAACACCACACAGGAATGAAACGCAAGCATTTACGGAGCAAAAGAAGCCAGAAACAAAAGAGGCCACTCTGTATAATTCTATTTATATGAGGTTCAAAAAGATGCAAAACTGGCACCCCGTGGCATAGCAGTTAAGTGCGTGCGATTTGCTGCTAGCGGCCCGGGTTTGGATCCCGGGTGCGCAGCGAGGCACCGCTTGTCAGGCCATGTTATGGCAGTGTCCCATATAAAGTGGAGGAAGATGGGCACAGATGGTTAGCCCAGGACCAGCCTTCCTCAGCAAGAAGAGGAGGATTGGCAGATGCTAGCTCAGGGCTCATCTTCCTCACACACACAAAAAATAATAAAATAAAATGTGAAAAAAAACAAAGAGGCAAAACTGATCTGTGTGGCTAGAGGTCAGGATAGTGGTGTTCTAGGAGCATCACCCTGGGAGGGAGCCGGCTGGGTGCTGGTGGTGTTCCAGGTCTCCATCTGGGTCAGGGTTACATAGCTGCTTCCATGTGTAAAAGGCCGCTGTGAGCTGACCCTCAGATCTGTGGACTCTGCTGTAAGTTACACCTTAATTACAAAAGAAAAACATTGATAGGGAATGAAAGTGGACTAGGAAGAGAAGGTAAAAGGAGAGAGATGAAGAGGAAGAGAAAAAAAACAAGACAAAAAGAGAAAGACGGGCACACCTAGCAGCTGTCCTCATAAAGGCTGTCTTGGAGAAATATCCTCATATTGTCGCCTTTGAAGAAACGGCTGCAAAAACTCAGACTCATGTTGTATTTTCACATCTGGAGACGTGAGTGGAGATAATATCCCTCAATCTCTGCCTTGGGGACCAATGCGTAATTAAGTTGAGGGCCTGATGGGGCCGGCCCCGTGGCGTAGCAGTTAAGTGCTCCAGCTCCACTGCTGGCGGCCCGGGTTCCGATCCTGGGCACGCACCGACGCACCGCTTGTCAGGCCATGCTGTGGTGGCCTGACATATAAAGTGGAGAGAGATGGGCACGGATGTTAGCCCAGGGCCGGTCTTCCTCAGCAAAAAGAGGAGGATTAGCATGGATGTTAGCTCAGGGCTGATCTTCCTCACCAAAAAAAAAAAAAAAAATTTTGAGGGCCTGAGCCCGCAAGCCAGAGAGCCCCAGTCCTGGCAGGAGAGGGGTACTCAAGCGAGGTTGGGAGGCCTCAGGGGTGGGGGGCTGGGGTGGGAGCAAGCACATTTGGGAGTCCATGCCTGAGCTGACTCTTGGCCTGGTGACTGTAACACAGTTACTTAGCCTTTCTGATCCTCCAGAATGCCCTTCTGTTTTAATAGACACCTTAGCCACGGCACTGGTCAGCCCCTGCCACGTGCAGGACCCCCTCAGAGCTTTTGCTCAAGCCGGGCACTCTGCCACGAAAGGAGATGATGTGTGGCACGTCCGTGTCCTCGGTAACTTGTCATTCAGGGGGCCTTGTGGATGAGATGGGAACCTCTGTTGCTGGAAAAGCCTGAGGAGCAGGAAACAGCTGGGAGGGGGTCAGGGCAGATCGAGGGCAGGGAGTTTTCGTGGCTGTGACAATAGCTCTGTGTGTTCGTGCGTGCGTACGCGTATGTTCATAGGAATTATATATTCATCTCGATGGCATGGGAGTATTGGGCATGACTTAGGAGTCAGTCCTGTGCGAGCTTTCTTGAATTAACCCACTCAGTACACATTTATCAAGCTCCTCCTCTGCCACACTGAGAGCTGAGAGCTACGGACACAGGAAATTTGGAGAGCTCCTGCCCTCAGAGAGTGCTCGGACCAGAGCAGGAGAGTCCAACAGACGATGATGTGAGCCTCATGTAATTTACATCTTCTAGAAGCCATATTAAAAGAGTAAAAAGAAACAAGTGAAATCAAGTTGAATATTTGTTATTTAACTCAGTGTATCCAAAATGTGATTATTTCAGCATGTAAGCTATATAAAAAATTATTGAGATATTTTACATTATTTTTTCCTACTGAGTCTTCAAAATCCAGTGTATAATTTATGCCTACAGTGCATCTCCCTTTGGACTAGTCCCATTTCAAGCCCTCAATAGCCCCACGTGGCTGATGGTCACCGTGTGGGACAGCACAGACCTAGACAGCTTAAATGGTCATAGACGGGGTGGTCAGTGCTATGAGGCAGGCCAGCAGAGTGCTGTGGGGACATCGGGTGTCCTCACTCTGCACTGCAGCTTAAGCAAACTTCTTCCTCGTGGAAATGGTCGGTGCAGGCCGGTGGGCTCTGTTTGGCAGAGTCTGGGGCCCGGGCTGGCTGGGCGGCACTGCAGGGCAGCCTGTGGATGGGGAAAGGGGGTGTGGAGAGGCCACACCTCAGTCCTAAAGTCTAGGCCCAGAAATAGCCCAGGTCACTTCTCTGCATTTAGTTGCACGGCCACACCTGGCTGTAAGGGAGCCTGGGAAGTGTCATCTGGCTGGGCAACCGCGAGCCCGGGAAGATGGCCAACAGGTCCGGGAGGCAAGAGTCTCTGGCTCATGGGAGTTAATAAGGGCTTTGTCGAGGTGATGTGGTTGGGCACTGGGCTCGCTCCTGGGGTGGATGGCCAAGGTGGCGCCCCCAGGCTCTAGCTGCCCCCAAGAGAGACAGGCTTCACACCCACAGGAGTGCCTGGTGCCTGGTGGTGAGAAGTCACAATGGTTTTGTCTCTGCAGCCAGAGCACAGCTTCGATTTCGTCAGCAGGGAGTTCTTTGCGCAATCCGTCAAGAAGCTGCAGGCCCGCGTCCTGCTCATCAAGTAAGTCTGACCCGAGCGCCCGAGACCAGGCCTGAGAGCCGGGAACCTCCAGGTCTCCCTGGCACGAGGTTGCCACTTCTCCTGGTGGGAGAGAACTGCCATCTTTCTCGGGAAGCCCCCCGGCAGCTGGTGTGTGGAAAGCAGGCAGAGCTTGGGCAGCAGGAGATGGGGCAAGGACCACACCGCACCTTTCAACAGGTGTCTGGGGAGATGCCCAGGTAAGGCAGACTGGCAGACATTAATGTCTGGCATTTGCCCTACCAAATCCCCCGGCTGTGGGATCCCTCCCATCCCTGGGCCTGCGCTGCTCCTCCATCCGCCTTCCTCCCATTCCCCAGCCCTGGCACCCACCTGAAGCACTCCCACACCCTCAGGCTCCCACGCTGAGCAGCCTTCAGTGTGGCTTAGCTGCCACTCCCCACTCCCCTGCACCCTGGACAGGGCAGGACTGAGGCAGGAACAGTGACTTCCAGGGACACATCTGTGTCTCTGGTGCCGGGCACTGGAGTTTAGGAAGCACGGACTCAGAGAAACAAATCCAGACCACAGTGAGACCCACCGCACACCCTCTGGGACAGCTAGACTCTAAAGGTGAGATAAGTGTTGGCAAGGATGTGGAGGCTCGGGATTTTTTTTTGAGGTGATGAAAATGTTCTAAAATTGACTGGTGATGGCACAAACCTGAATATCCTAAAAACCATGGAATTCCACACTTTTAAATGGGTAAAATTATCTCAATAAAGATATTTTAAAAAAGAGAAAATACGGACTCAAGAGCACGTTCAGACCCCAGCCCTGCCCTTCAGTGGCTGTGACTGTGGGCAGGTCCTGTGCCCCCGAGCCCCAGCAGGATACTCCTGAGACGCTTCCCTCCAGCCTGGCGCGGTGAGCCACTGAACGGCTCCACCTTGAATTAAATCTGGGCTCAAAGGGACCCCACTGTGAGAAAATCGGGGGGAAACCCGGGCTCTCCTCTCAGAGCCTGCAACGCAGGGCACTGCATGGAGGCAGTCCAGAGATGAACTGATTTCTTCTTGTTTTCCAGAGCAATCCAAGGATTTTATGATGTGAGGAGAGAGAATGACACTAACAAGGAGCCCCTGCTTTTCACAGTTGACACGTTGAAATCTGTCCTAAAAGAGGTAGGTGCGCGGCGCTCAGGGCGGTGGGGGTACGGGAAGGGGCGTCAGGCCACTCTGGGCTCCACCTTGCCCATCTCTTTTCCAGCACTGGGACCCCTGGTCTGGCCTGGCCCCAGGTCTAACAGGTGACCCCAGGAGCCACCAGGCCTCACTCCCCGCTGTGGTCACAGTCCCCCGAGACCTGGGGCCACATGTAACCAGCACAGAACAGACTCCTCCCTGGCAGATGCTCTTTATTGTCCTCACTTACCCCCTGGGCAAAGCCCAACTCGGTCAGAGGGGGTCCCACGATTTTCTAGGGTCCCAAACAGGAGCAGACCAGTCCCGTCAGCGGGTGCTGGCCGCAGGCGGGGGTGGGCCTCCAGGGTGGAGGGCTGGGACTCGTGCTGTGACCCGGCCCCGCCCAGTCCCTGGGAGCACCTGGCCTCTTAGCATCATCACCCACCACAAACGCCTGACCCCGGGGCCTCAGCAGACAACCTGGTGTCCTCTCGGAAGGGACGCCCACGTGTGGCTGGCCGGCCAACAGGTGGTGCCTTCCGGGCCTGAGGGTTTCTCCCAGGCAGGAGCAAGTGTGAAAGGCTGCTCCTTTTTTTTTTCAAGTGGACCTTGTATAATTATCAGAAGCAGCAGCACCGCCCCCACGGGCCCCCTCCCCAGCCTAGTTCTACAACCTCACAACTCAGAATGGCCCAGAACCCCAAGGTTTGGACACTTCCCCCAAGTCAGGCCCTTCTCACTGGCTCAGAGCCAGGGTGACCTGCCCACAGGGTGCTGTGAAGTGACGGGGGCCCACGGAGCTGTGGGTCAGTTACTGCCCTAAGGCTCCCTGTGGGGGACTCCCAAGGCACCGGGAGGCAGCAGGCCGTGGGAAAGCCCCAGCAGAGGGGCCTGCGGAGCCACATTCCCTGGGCCAGACCTCACCGTACGTCCCTTCCCTTCACCAGCGGTTCCAGTTCGTGGAAGTCCCGGGCAATCACTATGTGCACATGAACCAACCCCAGCAGGTGGCCAGTGTCATCAGCTCCTTCTTACAGAGCAAGGACAGGGTCCCAGCCCGGCTGTAGCCCTGGGCCTGGGGCTACAGAGACCTCGAGCCCACTGCTCACCACCCTCCACTCGGACTCCCAGCTTCCAAGCCACCCAGCCAGGCCAGGTGTGGTGGGGCCAGGCCTCACTGGTTGTGAAGAACAGAGAGGAGGGGTGGGGGCAAGATCTTGCCTCTAACATTTGTGACTTCAAGGCGGAGACCATGCCCGGATTTCGGGAGTTGTTTTGTGGCTGATGATCCGCAGGAAGCTGGGAGCAGCTGGAGGAAGGAGGGGCCAGCAGCCCAGCAGCTCCTGTAGCCTTTTCCCGCTCCCGGACTGGATGAAAGAGAAATCATTCTTGTATTCTCACTGCTCTGGAGGCTGTTTCACTGCAGCGGGGGTTTTCCACTGAGGGCAAGGGGAGAACACAGCAGACACAGCCTTGAGAGGAGAGTCCAGAGCCAGGCTGGGAACAGACGAGGAGAGGGAAGGAGCCACTCCTGGGCCGGCAGCTTCCTGAGGGCCAAGTCCTCACGCTGGGCAGGCCTCCACAGCACGGGGCCCCAAGCACCAGAACAGAGGGGTGACAGAGTCCTTCACCCCACCCCGTGTGGCTCAGATCTTTGGGGCTGTCTGATGTGGTGGCCCCTCGGCCTGGGCACAGCCTCTGAGACGAGCATTCCAGGCCCTCATGTCCGCACTGGCCAGGCCACCCGTTCACTACCCCTCTCCGTGGGGCCCGTGGGCCAGTGCAGCTCAGTAAGGGCGGAATTTGCGTTGGGCCCGCATCAGTTCAATCCTCTGCTTGTCCTCCTCGAACTTCTTGCGCAGCTGTGCTAGATCTGGGAGTGAGGGGAAAAGGGGAAACAGGGCAGGATCAGACAAGGAGCCCCGTGGGAGCTGCGCCCTGCTGCCCTGCCCCACTAGAGTCCTCTGGGCCCTCCCCTCAATTCCCTCCCCACTGGGGGAGCTCAGCACGGCCTCCTGCCTCGCCTCTGCTTGCGGAAATGGTCTGGACGTGGCAAGAAAACGGGACTGGACTGCAGACCCAGTTGGTGGGCAGAGGCTGAAGGGGAGAAGACAGCAGGCCTGAGTTTTCAGATAGAAAACTCACCAGTATAAAAAAAAAAAAAGCACAGAGAAAGCAAAAAGGCACTTGCTCCCTTACCCCCCGCCCCACACCCTCCCCCAAAAGAGAAGGAAGAAGGAGCTGGGGGTGCCGGGAGACCCCCGGGGACACCTCTCCCAGCCCCTCCCCACCACAGCAGTCAGACTAGGGAGGGCATCAGGAAGAAGTAACGGGGCTCCACCCCCAGAGGGCCACAGAATTCAGACGGTGGCTCTGGTCACCAAGTGACCCGGTCAGAGGGCTATGTGGGGTCCGGAGCCCAAGGGAAGGAAGGCTGATGGAGGCCTGCGGTTGGGTGAACCTGGAGGAGAGGAGGAGGGGACGGGGCAGGAGCGAAGGTGCGGGAGGAGGCAGGAGCAGTGAGGCAGGCGAGAGAACGGTGCGCCTGGGGTGGTCAGGGCAGGACCCTCTCCCGGGCCCACGGGGAAGCCATCCTGCACGCAGGGGGCCCAGGCGGTCGGGGCAGTGAGCTTAGCATCCTCACCGCCAAGAGCAGGCCACGGGCAATCAGGTGCTCACCCCCGAGCACTCCACACACTCACACAGACACTCACACACACAAGGCTAGCAGCGGCCCTCTCTCTGCACCCACAGTGAGCACCTGAGATCCACCCTCTGCAGTGTGGCCCCTGCTGGAAGCTGACAGGTTCCAGCATGAATTGCTCAGGGGTATGGAGGTGGGTCCTACATCCCAGTGCCTCTGTAGCCTCTAAATGACCCAGGGGCCCCACAGCTGCCTCTGGGGAGCCACAGGTGGACCACCACAGGGGTGTGGTCCAGGTCCCCGGGTCTAGCGCCTGCCCTCGGGGGCTCTGCGCTCCCGCCACAGGCCTCATCCACGGCCTGGGTGCCAAGGGCAGTGGGGCCGGAGGACAGGGCTGGGGTGCTCTCTTACGCTCCATCTTGGTCTCGCGGTGCTGCCAGGCGTAGAAGTTGAGCAGCTCCTTGCGGGCGCGCTTCCGTTTCTCCCGCTCCAGCACCCGCAGGCTGGCTGCCTCCGTCCGGGGGAGCACGGGCCGCCGGCCCCGGCGGGTCACCTTCACCCAGCCCTCCTCGTCCGGGACCCCTTCCTCCTCCTGGGCCTTAGCCTCCTCCTGCAAAGAACACGACCCTGTGATGGGCAGGCACCCTCCCTCCTCTCCAGGCTCTCCCCTCTCCCACCCAGAGCCACTCTGGGCACCGGCTGGTCCCTCCGCCTCCCAGCACAGTGCTGGTAGCTAAGTTTGGAGGGGACACGCAAACGTGCCAACGCTGCCTTCTCCCTCACCCTCAGACCATCCGTTCCCTACAGACCCTTTAGAGACTAGATGTCACCCAGTCAGGTGGCCCAGGACTCAGCAGCAAGAAAGGGAGCCTGGACTTGACACGGTGACCAGGACAGGCTGCCACCACCCCCCACCTCGGGAGCCACACCATGACACCTATGGCACCACCTTTCCCAAGGCTGCACAGGTGATACTCAGCTGCCCCTGTGAAAGCCCTACCTCAGCCATCTTCTTGTCATAGGTCTCCATGAACGTGTCCACCTCGACCCTCAGGGCCTCGGGGTCCAGCACGGAGTCTCTGTAGTCACGGATCCACTCTGAGGGAGAAGGGAGTGATGGAAATGGGGCTGCCTCAGGCCTGATACTCAGGGACCCACCCTGCCAGGCCAGTCAGGATCTTCTTACACAGGCCACAGGGATGGAGACCTGTGGCCCAGGGCTCAGGTGGTAAGGAAGATTCTAGTGGCAGCAGGCTGGGCCCTCACCTCTGTCCACCTCATGCCAGGCTCAGGCCTCCCACACGCTGCTTTCAGCGTGAGTGGACACGGCTCGTGGCGTTCGCAGACTCTGACCCCACAAAGCCTACCCACCAACCCAGGGCCCAGGAAGGAGGCGCCCAGCGCCACCCACAGTACTAACTGTGAACGCCGCTCTTCACAGGGTGACTCTCTGTCGAGACCAGCAGGGGGCCCTTCAAGGCCAAGGCAGCTGACACCCCCCCTGGCTTCTGGAACACCACGTAGGCTACCTGGAACCCCTGAGGGGAGGAGAGACAACAGAGCGTCAGGAGCCCTCCCGTTCTCCCAGCCAGCCCCCCGCCGGCACGAGGGCTCCCACTGCCCTCAGCCTGACTTGTCACTGAGCCAGGGCAGATGTGCCGGGCTGTTCCTAAACTGCAAAGATGACCAGCAGGTTTTCTGTAATCCAGGGGCGGGATAGCCGCACTCCTAGTTAGCCACCTTCTGCTGAAGTGACCCGTTCCCGCCTCTTCCCCAGGGAGAGGTGAGACACCAGGCCTATCCTCCAGTTATAGGAGGGACTCAGTGAAAAGCGTGCTCCCTCTGGGCCGGGAGAGGATGGACACTTGGGGCACACGCTAGTTCACACTCCCCTATGCCAGGAGGAGGTGTGGGCTCAAGGGTCACAGGGAAAACTGGGGCCACTGAGCCTGAGGATGAACTGACTGTGGTGGGAGAAGCAGGCAGGGAGCTCAGGGCGGCCCCTCAGGGTGGCGAGCAGAGACGGTCTCTGAACTTTCACCCAGGACAATGGAAACAGCCAGACAGGAAGCTACAGGATGTGGCAAATCCGGGGAAGGGAGTGGAGACTGCTTACTTGACAGCCCTCCTACACTCCACACAGCGAGGACTGGCCTAGGACCGCAGGGAATGCTCTGCAAGTCCCACTGCCACCCCGACCGCCACCTTCTCCCTCACACACTGGGGACCCTGGCCTCGCCCACACACCGCCCCAGGCCCCCCTTCCAGCAGACGCCAGTACTGGTGGTACTGGGAGGCTTACCGGAACCGGCTTGGGGTGAAAAAACTTCGACTTGGGCTCCTTTGTGGTCTCGGCAAGGTCCGGCTTCTCCTGTAACTCCACAGACTGGACGGGGCCGCAGGGGGACAGGAGGCGGGACAGGCACTCCTGCCACGGCCCGAGGAAGCAGCGTGAGCCTGAGCCTCCCTCCACCCCGGGCGGCACTGCCAGGGGCCCAGGGCCCCTGCAGGACTCACGTCTGCCCACCTGGGGGCACGCAGGCAGGGCCTGGGCAAGCCACACGCTCCTCCACACGGAGGTCACCACTCCTGCCCTCCCACTGCCCGAGACAACAATCTTGTCAATTTTCATGTTAAAAACTGTGGGTAGAAAGCCACCCCTCCACTGGCCAGGGGACTCGGGCGGGAGGAGACAGAGTGCGAGGTAGAATTCAGGGATAAGCTTTCTGGCTGTAGGACAGGAGCCTGCTGGAAGCACATGCCCAGGATGTGCTGGTTCTCCTGAAAGGGACTGCTCCCTCTGAAGAGCCATCTTGTGAAAAGACCAGTCCTTCCTTAGCAATTTCTCTGGGGGAATGATCCCTATAGCATGACTGGGTTCTAAACTTTTTTTTTCTTAATTATTACAAGAATAGGTGGGGACATTTTTGGTGTTATTCTGAGTATTCTGATTTTATGAGACAACCAATTAAGTTTTACTATCTGATTCAGCAATTTAAAACCAGAGTTAAATCTACCCTGTTGGAATCAGGACAGGGTTATCGCTGGGGGGGAGGGGCACGAGGGAGGGGATTTCTGAGGTGGGGGGGATGTTCTGTTTCTCCAGCTGGGTGCTGACCACACAGATGTGTGCAGTCTGTGAACTGCAGCGAGCTGCACACCGCGGCCCAGCCCCTCTGTACACACACTGCTCCTCAGTGAAGGTTAAGATGACACCCTCTCCTCCTACTGCTTCTCTCTCTCTAACTATACAGGGATATTTTACAAATTAATATTTCTTTTTCGAAAAAAAATGCATCTAAAACACAGCAATTCCCTTAGTTAATCCTCTGACAATTAACACAATACAGTGCTAAATTTAATAGTTTTTGTGGAAAAAAAATTAACAGACATGTCGGGATAGTAGGCTTAGAGGTAATTTTATTTTTTTATGCTTTTGCTATTTTTTACTGTGGACATGTATCAATTTCATAATCAGGGAAAACCAACATATAATTCAAAACAATGCTGGGTAATACATAAAAAGCTCTGGGCTCCTTAAAAGTATATTTTTTTATAACATATCTTTAAAAAGCCGATTTCCTGTCACACAGAGAGAGAAGCAGCCCTCTGGATACCCTCCCTCGGAGCTTCAGTTAGCAGCTTCCAACTCACCACAAGGACCTGGCGGGGCCGGTGGGAGCCCAGCTCTGCCTGGAGCCCCCGCCCCAGCCTGCAGGTTCCCTCCCAGACACCTACTCACCTCTGTGCAATATGGAGGCACATTGAGGACAAAAAGGGTCCGCTTCTGAGGCCAGGAAGACTTGGTGCCTTCTCGAACTCGGTGCCCTCTCACATAGAGGTAATGAGAAGCCTGCTGCTTTTCAGAGAACTTGATCGGAATGGCTAGAAGGGAAATGGTGGCGGGGAAGGACGGCATGAAAGTCAGGTTCAGGCTGTCCCTTTCTAGTCCCATGTATCTGTCCATCTGTCCATCCATCCATCCCTCACTGAGCCTTTCCCCTAGGCAAGGCCTGAGCAGGGTGCTGTGCAGGCTGAGAGGGAACGAACAGATAACCTGCCCAGGAGGAGTTCCCAAGCTGGTGGGGGAGCATGAACACAACAGGCAGTTATTACAGGTCGGGGACCGAAATGAGAGGGAAGTTCAACGTCCGCTGCTCTTGGGGTAAACACCAAAATCCTTACCGTAGATGAAGGCCCTGCGTGACCCTGACCACCTCTGCGGCCTTGTCTGGCACCATCCTGCCCCACCACTCCACCCGCCGGCCACTCTGGCCTTCTCTGTGCCTCCAATAGGCCAGGGCCTCCACTGCTGTTCCCTTAACCTGACACATCAACTCTCTACCCTCTCCACCCATTCTTCATGTTTTACCTTCACTTCCTCAGGAGAGCCTTCTGTGCCAGGTGAGACCCCCCTGCTCTGGACTCTCCTAATTTCTCTCACCAAGTTTATTTGTGTGCGTGTTTGGATAATCGCTGGCATTCCCACAAACTGTAACCCTCATAAAGTTAGGAACTGTTTTCTGTTTTTCTCACCACCTTCTTCAGAGCAGTGAATACATTATAGTCCTGCCCTCAGGAAGGTCAGTGGCCGAAGACAGTGAAAAGGTAAGCATATAACAAGATTGTACCAAACACAAAAGAAACACCCAGGGTGAAGTAGTGCTGGGTGGTGGGGGGGCCGAGGCCTTTAGGGAGGCATCGGGACGACCTCTTTGAGGAAGCTACACTAAAGCTTAGGCCGGAATGACATAGAGCCGCCCAATAGTGCGGCAGAGCTGTCTGCGCAACTCCGAGGAAGAGGGCACAGCAAGGGCAAAACCCAGGAAGGTGGAAAGAGCCTGTCGGAGGAACAGGAAACAGGGCTCTAGGGCAGCACCGGCCCGAACACGTGGGGCCACGCAGGTCCAGGGTAGGAAGTTTGGATCTTGTTTAGGTGCTAATTTTGGCCACTGGAGGGAGTCCAGTGGACATGTGGGGTACAGGTGGGCGTATGAGGCAAGATGTGATTTAAATCTGACTTTAGAAAGAAGATTCTGGGCAGGAAAGCAGCAGGAAAACCAAGGAGGAGGGCAGTAACAAGCCAGGGGCGGGCTGAGAGGATGGACTGGGAACTGCAAAGAGGTGATGAGAAGTGGACGGGCTCCCCGGGGGGACGGTGTAGACGGCCACGGGTTCGCCCCTGGGAGACAGTGTGGACAGAGGTGGGTCCCCCCAGGGAAGCGTTGGCCAAAGTGGCTCGTCCCGGGAGAGTGTGGTCAGATGGGAGGGGGGCGCCGGCGGGTCTCGGGGGAACCTGCCGGGGCTCACGCCCAACCGCGCGGCCGCTCCTGGGGGCCCCTGGCCACCGCCGACCCCCCGAGTCGCCCCGGCCCCGCGTCCCGCAGCCCCCACCTGAGTAGCCCGGCGGGCTCGTAAGGCCCTCCTCTGAGCCCCGCGCCGCGCGCTTCCTCCTGCGCGCCACCATCTTGCCGGCCGGACGCCGCGGGGGCCGCTGGGAGCCGGCGGGTTTCCATGACGACGGCGCCGCGTGGGGCCCCGCCCCCCGCGGTTCCCGGCCCGCTTGTCCCGCCCTGTCACCCCGGGGTCAACCTTCATTTACTCGGAATAAAGCCAGCACGAATGTGGGAGTAAATGTCGGCGTAGATGGGGGCCGTTCCCGGGAGCGAACTCAACTGTTTTTGTGTGTGTGAGATTAGCCCTAAGCTAACATCTGCCAATCCTCCTCTTTTTTTGCTGAGGAAGATTAGCCCTGGGGTAACATCCCTGCCCATCTTCCTCCACTTTATATGGGACGCCCCCACAGCATGGCTTGTCAAGGGGTGCATTGGTGCGCGACCGGGATCGGAACTGGTGAACCCTGGGCCGCCGCAGCGGAGCGCACGCACTTAACTGCTTGCGCCATCAGGCTGGCCCCTCAACTTTCTTTTTTGTTGTTCACTTTGTATTTTTTTATATTCTTTTTCAAATTCATTGAGTTTATTTTGTTTGGTTTTTTTCTTTTGTTTGTTTTGGTGGGGAAGATTGGCCCTGAGCTAATATCTGTGCCAATCTTCTATTTTGTATGCGGGATGCCACCACAGCATGGCTGACGGGTGGTGTATGTCCGCGCCCATATCCGAACCCATGCACCCGGGGTGCGGAAGTGGAGCGAGCCAAACTTAACCACTACGCCCGGGGCTGCCCCCCAACTCAACTTTCCACTCATTCATTCATGCATTCCACAAAGAGCAGTGAACGCTCTGTCCTAAAGGCTAGAGACACAGAGGTGAAATAAAATCTGGCCTTTCTAGAGTTTATATTTTAAGGAGAGAAAGAAACAATAAACACAAAAAGAAGCAAAATATAAAGCAAATGCATGAGTGCAAAATCCTAAAGAGAAAATTGAAGGAGGATGGGGAGTGTGGTGAGGGGAGGTGTTGCAATTTTAAATTAGAAGGCCTCGGGGCCGGCCCGGTGGCGCAAGCGGTTGGGTGCGCGCGCTCCGCTGCGGCGGCCCGGGGTTCGCTGGTTCGGATCCCGGGCGCGCACCGACGCACTGCTTTGGCAAGCCATGCTGTGGCGGCGTCCCATGTAAAGTGGAGGAGGATGGGCACAGATGTTAGCCCAGGGCCGTCTTCCTCGGCAAAAAAAAGAGGAGGATTGGCGGATGTTAGCACAGGGCTGATCTCCTCACAAAAAAAAAAATAAAATAAATTAGAAGGCCTCATTGGAGTGGCATTTGAACAAGTATATATGAAGGAGGTTCAAGTGTCTGAGAAGAGTATCCTGGGCAGAGGGAATGGTGAGAGCAAAGGCCCTGAGGCTGGAGCCTACCTGGTGTGGTAGAGAAACAGCAAGGAGACCGTGTGGCTGGAGTACAGTGAGCAGAGGAAGAATCAGTGAAGGGGCAGGGGGCTTGGCTGATCCTATAGGACCTGGTAGACTACCGGAAGTACTTTGTTACCCTGAGGCTGATGGGGATTTTGAGCAGAGAGGAGTGGTGTGTAAACATGTCACTCTGGCTGCCGTATTGCAATTAGACTGTGGGAGGACAAGGGCAACAGTGGAGTCATTTAGGACAGCATTGCAATAATCCATAGAAAAGATGAGGACTTGGCCACCAGGGAAGTGGCAGTGGAGGTAATAAGAGGTGGCCAGATTCAGGATATGTTTTGAAGACTTCCAATAGGATTTGCTATGCGTTGGATATGCAGTTGAAAGAGAGAAATCCATGGTCTGAGCAGCTAGAAGGATAGTGGTGTCATTTACCGAGATGGGAAGACTAGGGGAGAGGGAGGCTTGGGCAGGAAAGGGTGGACAGATCTAGAATCCACTGTGGCTCACCTTGAGATGCCCATTAGACATCCCAGGGGAGACGTTGGTGGGCAGATAGATATGAGACTGGAGATCAGAGGAGAGGTCTGGCCTGGGGATATACATGGGGGGAGCTGGCAATGTATACGTGTCGTTAAAAGCTATGAGAGAGGGTGCAGTCACCCAGGGAGGGAGTGTAGACAGAGAGAAGTCCAAGGACTCCATTTATCTGGCAACCAAAGGCCCACTCAGCATGGACCCAACTGCCCTTGAAATAGCCAAGATCCCCCTTTTCTTAGTGTACGGTTACTTCTTGGAAATGGCTATAGGTCCGTTTAGGGAAGAACTGGGGAATTACTACTGCAGATATTTGCTGTGGCATTACAGGGTTCTTCTGAAGGGGACTCAGCCTCCCTTTCAATCAGTGACCTCCAGGTCTGAGGACTGACTTAGGCCTGGAAACTGGGTGAGGGATTGAGATTTTTCCATTAGCAGCTGGCATTAGACTCCTGTTCACTTGTTTTCCATCTTTCTTTGATTATAAAAGTCAAGCAATATCATGGTTGCCATGGTCCCTGGGAATACCATGGTCTACTAGCCATCAGCGCAGATCCTGCGGGCCCAAGCTCCCTGGTGGCCGTTCTGCCCTGCTCCGGTTCTGGTAGTTACACAAACTGAACCTCTGCTCTCTGGAATCCTGTCATCCCTGAGGACCATTGGGGGCCCAACTCCAAGGCAGTATCCACCCCCTTCAACCCCGTTCTCAGAGGACTGCCACTCAAACTCCTGGTGATGTCAGTGGCCCTGACTAGTACTTCATCACTGCTTGAGGGAGGCAGCCTCCCGTGGGCCCTCCAGGAACACAGTCAGCTGGGTTCTCTGGTCTTACATAATAACTCTATGCTGGCACATCCCCCTCTCCGAGGCTTTTGGCCACTTCTCAATACCAAGACCATTCTGTTATCTCCCTCTTATGTACTGGAGGCCACCATTTCTTCCACGTTTCAAGGAGCCACCTCAGTGGCCTATCAGGACTGGCTCCAGGTGTCTTTGCCAGACCATCACATCCCGAGACACAGGAGGGTTGCTCTGTGTCTGTAAACTCTGCCTCACCCCACCTAATATCCTAGTCCCTCCACTCCAGCCCCCTCCCCTCGGGCATGTTCTCCTTGTTCCGGCTGGCACAGGTTGGCCAGCTTCTGCAGCAAGTGGTGAATCATCTCTGTTCTTCCATTGTAGGGACAAGACTTCTCCAGTTGCTTCAAGGAGACTTGATCCTAGTTATTGGTTTAGAAGCAAAGAGGGAAACTGGGGGCAGATCTTGAGGAGGGAAAGCATTGCTTCAAGGCATTCACCTTAGTGGGTCTCAGGGTTCTCCAGAGAAACAGAACCAATAGGATATAGATGTATATAAGTGGAGATTTATTATAGGAATTGGCTCACATGATTATGGAGGCCAAGAAACCTCACCATCTGCTGTCTGCAAGCTGGAGACCCAGGAGAGCTGGAGGTGTAACTCGGTCCAAGTCTGAAGGCCTGAGAACCAGGAACACTGATGTCTGAGGGCAGAAGATGGATGTCCCAGCTCACACAGAGAAAGCAAATTTACCCTTCCTCTGCATTTTTGTTCTATTCGGGTCTTCAACAGATTAGATGATGTCCATCTGCATTGGTGAGGACCATCTTCTTCACTCGGTCTACCAATTCAAATGTTAATTTCCTCTGGACACACCCTCACAGACATGCCCAGAAATAATGTTTTACCAGCTGTCGGGGCATCCCTTAGCCCAGTCAAGTTGACACACAGAATTAACCTTCACAGGGAGGTCTTTGCACAGTCTCCAGGTAAGAGGCTGCTGTTCTTGAGCAAGGGGGCCACATCTGCTGGCTCAGAGGGGAATCTGGAGTTCAAGATTCTCAAGCCCATCTACCCAGATGTCCCCATGCTAGGTCTCAGCATCCCACTCCTTCCTTTTTGTGACCTTGATTTGAGCAGAGGCCTTAGCAGAGCTGTCTTTTTGGCCTGCTGTAGAACACCACTGTCCTCAGGCAGGTTCTGGGCCTTCACCAGCACAGTCTGCCCGTGAGATGATAATGGCTGTCCTCAGCCTGTTATTTTCTTTCTTCAGCACATCGATGCCACTTAACAACAATCAATCAACTTCATTTTCCTTATAAATTACCATTGCCCCATGTATCACAAATGTTAGAGATATTGCCTAGGCCGGTGCGCCCCCTTCCCCTCTGTGCCCCATCGCAGTGCAGAAGAGATGAGTCTGAGTAACTATGATGACTCAGCACAGTGTTATCACCACACGGTCCAGCTAGCTGTTGCTGTGTAACAAATTTCCCTGGACAATTTGCACAAAACAATAGCCATTTTATTACATCTCATGATTTTGTGGGTTAGGAATTTGGGCAGGGCTCGGCTAGGTGACTCTTTTGCTTCATGTGGCCTTCACTGAGGTCACTCAGTGGTATTCAGCTGCCATATGTGCTGGTCTGAATGGTCCAAGCCAGTTTCACTCACACGTCTGGCACCTTAGCAGGGATGGCTGGAAGGCTGGGCTCATGTGGGACTGTCACCTAGAGCACCTATGCATGGGTTTCCCAGTATGCAGTCTCCATCTTCTCACATGGTGGCTCAAGGCCCCCAAAGAGTGCTCCAGGGGCAGGAAATGGGGAGCTGCCAGTCTTTCAAAGTTGGGGCTCAGAAGCTGGCTGAGTTGTGTCTAGTCAAAGCAGTAACAGAGCCCACTCAGATTCAGGAGGGGCACAGACCCCACCTCTTGAAGGGAAGAGTGTCAAATAATTGGCTGCCATCTTTAATCCACCATACTACTCCAGTTTCCATCAGCAACTGGGTCTTTGTTGCCACGTGGCCAGTGAGTCTTCCAATTTCAGAGTCGAATTCTCAGGATCTATTTCTTAGACCCCCTTCTGGTACCAGCTGCTGTAGAGTGGGTTCTCCCAGAAGCAGACCTTGGGACAGGGATTCAGGTGCAAGTAGTTTATCTGGTGGGTGATCCCAGGAGACAGCACTAAAGGAATCTGGTGCATGGCTCTAAGTTCCAGCACCCCACCTTGTGTAGGCTGATAGCCTTGTCTCCTGTCCCCTCTTCAGCCTTTGACGTCTGGTATTTAAGTCCTTGTGATCAACAAATGCTCTTGGAGTAGCTGCAGCTTCTCTGCTA